AGAAAGAAAGAAAGAAAGAAAGAAAGAAAGAAAGAAAGAAAGAAAGAAAGAAAGAAAGAAAGTTGAGGAGGTGCACCGTCTGGGAGGAAGGCGGTTGCTCCAACCAAGGCAGGCTCTTCAACCAACTTACATCTTTTTGGCTGCAATTTACTTTTTTCTTCCAAAAATCTCCCAAGTTATGCAGTGGAATATGGAGTTTGTGGTGCATCTTATGAAACTATTGTCAGATTAATGATATTAATGGCTGTTGAAATATGTCCAGTGATGCATAATGTTCAATTTAATGGATGATCAATTATCTTTTTTTCTCTATATTTGAAGTTGATATTTATAAAATATATGACTACATTATTGTCTGTCTCTCATCTTGGATTTGAGAAACTTTTCCTGCACATTCAGTGCATGGCCAGAAGTTGGCAGTGTATTAAAAAGACCCCAATATAAACAGGAGAGGATTATAGTCTGAAAAGTTGCTAAATAGAGCAATGTGTGATAAATGGGCAACATTGCTTTTTTTTGTCTTGGCCACGCCCCTTAGTGTATCTTGGCTCCGCCCACTTTTCAGAAATGTTTCTAAATTTGACTGTAGGCAAAAAAGTGTAACTTTTTAAAAGTTACACTTTAAAGAACAGATCCTCCGGGAGCAACATTTATTAATCGCTGCAAAGCAAACTAGAACAAAAAACTGGGACTAACAAGATCTACCATCTTTCAAGAAACGGTGAATATTGTTGGTGAGGATGATAAAATATAAACTTTCAATAAAGATTAAAGATTGAAAAAAAAGCAACTTCAGGGTGCAGGCTTCTGGATCGCAACCATGAAATATTCCTTATCTGTGGAGAGAAAAGCCAGAACCTGGAGGTTAATTCCACAGATCCGGACCCGGTTCTGATGGCTCAAAATGGCGCCTGGACCTCACCAGCAGTGATGATGATCTCGTTCTTCTCAGTGCGGATCCGCAGGTAGGTGAAGTCATCAGTGGGATCCAGTTCCTGCAGCATCTTCTTGGCCTTCACCAGCAGGGGTTGGATCAGCGCCACATACTGGACCGTGTGGTGGTCCTCCAGAGTGGACCTGATGGCGATTCCTGGACCGATCAAACACTCAGGTAATCAGATTACACACCAAGAAATGACATGGCAACAAAAAACACTGCTTTTACATTTTAAATGTAAAAATGCAGACTTTTATTTCTTTGTCAATTTTTTAAGATTTTGTACATTTTTCAGAGGTTTCTTGATGTTCCAAATTTGGACTTTTTCACCCTAAAGTATAATTCCTCAAAATAAAACAATATTTGTTTTTTTTCCCAGGGTTTTAATGTTATTTAAAAAGAAAGAAAGAACCTCAAATCAGAAGTAATCATGAACTCGGCAGAAATAAATGATCATTAATTAAAGCCAGGAGTTTTACCCTCAGAATTAGCGATGATGACTCCTTCCACTCCTTTCTGAGCCTGGAGCCTCTTCACTACTTCATCAACTTCGGCCTTAAAACGAGGAACAGGCGGCTTCGTTTAACTCGGAAACCAAAGCAACTCAAACACCGCAGCTCATTAAACGGTTAAACAGCTGCTAGCCGCAGCTAGCATCCCGCTAATCCCCGAAAATAAAGCAACACATTCAAACAGGAGGCGACAAAACTCTGAATTTTACTACAAAGAACACAGTGTGGTGTTTTGCCTTACCATTTTAGCGTTTAGCTGGAGAAATCGGGAACAAAAATGAATCTTCTGACATTTAACGGAACCGTTACTGACGGAAACTAAAAGGTTCGAGCCCAACGGCTACTGTGGTGTGTTCACGGTCCTGCAGGCGAACCCGGAAATCTTAGTATCCTTTTGTCATACTGTCACAAAACTCATTTATAAACATAAGAAAACAGGAGTGGGTATTTGTTGTATTGTCTATTATTATTATGGTTAAGTTTTTATCACGATAAGAATTTTATTTTCACATTAAATTCCATACAATGATTATCAACAACTCCCCGCCTCAAAAACTGCCTGTACTGTCAAGGTTCATAGTTTTATTAGACATAAATAAAATTTAATTTAAAACTAAATGTAATATATTTGTAAAATGTCTGAAATAATTTATAAAACTATCGATTCATCGATGATCACTTCATTATTTTCCTCCTGTCGAACTTCAAGCTTTTAAATGGTTGAAAAATCAAATGTTTTCTGGATAAAAGTTTGATTTTCACATGAAACAAAATGTTTGGGAGGAGTCCAGGTGAAGAACATAATAGTCACTGTCATACATGGTAGTGGCAACATCATCCTATGGGCTGTTTTAGAATTTATTTAAAATAATTTGAACCAATAAATCGTTTGCATTTCTCTATTCTTTATTCTGTTGAAAACAATGAACAGAGAATGTAGTGCAGCTCACATGTTTAATACTTCAACATGTTTCTGGGACAGAACAATAAATAACCCAAAGTTTGCATCAAACTGAACCTCTGGAGTTCTAGACGTTCTGGTACAAACTTATGTTTCCTACTTTGTGCACATCCTCATCAGTGAAATCAACACAAAGACAACAGCAGAGAATCAGGAAAGCTAAGAGACGAGCAATCTGGAATGATGGAAAAAGGAAGTAGAGATCTGGACCATCTCGCATCAGATGGATCCCCAATGGGTTCAGTTTCATCATCCATCAGTTCTTGTCCTTGCAGAACCAACACTAAGGTCTTCTCTTTCAGAAAAGCAAACAGAAAACAGTTTGGCCATTTAAATTCAGACAGAAGATGAAGAGGAGACGATCAGCAGCAGCTTCAGGCTGAAGGGTTCTGAATAACAATCAGGAAATAGTCTTTATCTGAGGAGAAATAAGACAGAACCAATGATCAGAATCGGAGCTTCGTGATGAGACTGGGAATCTATGGAGGACCAAGACTGACATGAAAATATATGTATGATAAAGAAAATTATGTATATTGTTGTTTTTCCTTTTGCTTACATGTGAATTTTTGTAAATAAATTTATATAACAATATATACATTTCAAACTCATGTGTAAGGAGAAACAAAAAGAAAATCTATATAATCCAGCTTTTATTTTTAAATATGTCAGTTTTGGTCCTCCATACGAATCATCAGATACAGATGTTCAACCATGATTTTCTCCTAAAATCAAAGCAAATCTGGAGGAAAGTTTCTCTCACCTGGAGCAATCATGATCTCGTTCTTCTTGGAGCGAACCCGGAGGAAAGTGAGGTCGTTCTGCGGGTCGATGTCTCTCAGCGTGCTCCTGGCCTTCATCACCAGCTGGTGGATCAAGGCTGAGTACTGCACAGTGCTCTGGTTGTCCAGGGTCGACTTCACAGGAATTCCTGGAAGGAACGTTTGCAGATCAAACATGTAATTAGGTTACAGAGTCCTGCATCCAGTGAAGCATTTTAACGAGTCCAAGTTTGACTGAAATCTTATTCTATGATTATTTTAACCAGAAAACACAATCACTCAATCAATATGTCAGTGATGTTCACATAGCATTTCAAAACAGATTATTAAACTGATTTAAACAATTTAGAAGCCTGATAAATTTTAATATTTATCTTTCTAAAATCAGCAATGTTCTACATTTGGTCTGCATTCTACCTTTAAAGCGTTTTACCTTCAGAGTTAACAATGATGATTCCCTGAACTCCCTTCTGACTCTGGATCCTCTTCAGAGTTTCTTCAACTTCAGCCTGAAAATCAAAAACAACAGGTGGCTTCATTTAACTCAGAAACAAAAGCAACTCAAACACCACAGATCAGTAAATCCCCTATCTTCTTCCATCAAAGAGGGCCATTACTGTAATTGTACAAATATGCAATGCATGTTTCTAGTAAAAATTAGTAATTAAGCATGTCTGTGCCTGTGTATGTGTGAAACCAGGAATAAACAAAATAAACAAAACTTAGGCCCTGTTTACATGACAACAATCCAATGAAAATGTAATTTGGGTTTAATTTCTATTAACACATTTGCATGAAGACATTCTGATTACAATCTTTGTTTACACAGTACTTTCTCCACCACAGGTATTTTGCCAGGTGGGCGGTGCGGAGCGGTGAAAAGGAACCCTATCCGGGGAAACACGAATTGTAGTAACACCAGTATTGTCAGTAGTTTCTTATTCTTCTGTGGATTGTAGGAAGCAGTTATGTTTTACGTCATACTATGCATGAGGTGGGATTCCCTGACTGAAAAGATCCATTTATTCTGTTTACAAGGCAACGGACACCGGTACGTTTCAGAACCATTGCAATCTGTACCGTTGTCAGAGAAAACATTCGGTGGTTTCATGTAAATGTACAGAACAAACACAACAATACTCTTCCATTTTCACCAGAAATTGTTGCCGTGTAAACAGGGCCTAAAACAACACAACTGCAAATAACTCCTTTCTGTGAACATTGCTACTATACAGAGAAAATAAACATGAACAATAATACTAAGAATAAAACATTTTCAATAATGAACCAAAGTCACTAAACAGTAAAAACAATAAAATTAACATTTTCTGAACTCAGGCAACGCCCGGCTAGCTTCTATCTGCTAGCCATAGTTAGCATCCGGTCAAACCTCCAAATATAAAACAATATATCTCCACAGATGGCGATAAAACCTGCTAATATTTATGTAAATACTAAATCCGGTTGTTCTATCTTACCATTTCAACGTGTGTAAGGGGAAAACTGTGACAGAAACGAATCCTCTTTCGGAACAAAAGCTAACTGGAATTAGCGGAAGTTAATTCCAGTTGTCAGTAACTACGATAAAACAACATCCGGTCAAACAACGTTAAGTTTTCTTCTTTTCTATTTATTCCGTTCTGTTTATTATTGTCATCTATAAAATAATGGTACAAAACATAGAGTTTTATGCTTTATTGAGAATAAAATAAAATAAAAAATAAATAAAAAATGAAATAAAATCCATCAAATTCAAAACGTCGCGCGAGAACAGCGCTTCAGAGGCGTGTTCGGAGCGGGCCCGGGGGTTCTGAGAGGGACGGATTTTGACAGAACACCGGGTGTCAATCTGTCGGTGCGCCGCTAGCAGCCAGCAGGGTCCGGGCTTTGCACCGTCCTGATTCCTTGTGTGGTGTGTGTCGGGAGTTCGGTCGGCTCTCCGCGGTGTGATGGAACTGGACAGAATGGATGAAAATGACTGGAAATACCACGGAGAAGGAAACAAGAGCCTGGTGGTCTCCCATGTTCAGGTAAATAGGCTAACGATGCTGAAGTTGGCGTCTGATTCGAAGATTTTTAAAGGGCTAGTTCACTGTTTAGGGAACCTGGGGTATCCGGTCTACAACAAAATCCACAGCGATTAGTTTGACCAAAACTGAGAAAAATATTCTGCATTGATTATAGCTTCATCTAAGCAAAGTTAATAAAGTTAATATTTTTTATTGTTGAAATTTCTCTAAATAGTGAGTTCAGAACCTAGAACCTCCAAACTTCAGACTAAGTACATTTAGTCTGGGAATAAATATTGTTTATAATTTTTCTACACTGCTTGAGAAGTATCAAATTGCTTTAAATTTGATTGAATCTCGTAAAAGAGAATAATGTTAGAGAATTAAATCTCCATGTTTAATTAAAAGAAAAATTCAGAATTACTTTAAGAAAATACTCAGCTATTTTCTATATTTCAAACATGAGCTCAGTCATAGTTTAAGTTAATATTGCAGAAGTTTTTATGAACTTGACATTTTAGTTCTTCTGTATGTGTAACTTTTTCTGTTATTCTAATACAAAACTCAGTATTACTAAATGTCATATTACACTGACAGACATAAACCCTCCAGTTAAAACTTTAATATTCTTAGAAAACTGTACAAAATAGTTGCTGTTGCCTTTTCAGATTCAACACCTACAGTTCCATCTTGAAAACATCTGTGTTGATTCTGGACTCATGTTTCATGAAAACAAACCCTTTTATCATATTTCACTAGTAAATTATATATTTAAAAAATCAGATTTCTTTTTTTTTTTTTTTACAGATCATCAGTTGGTATGTTTATGCAGGAATTTGCATTAACTGCAGATTAATTCAGTTCAGGTATTAACTGTTAAAGTATGCACCAAAAAATGTATGTAATGATCTACGTACCAAAAACATACATACCTAAAAAGGACGAACATAAAACTTAATGTTTTATTTTGGTCCTCCAAATAATATCTAAAGAAAATTCAATCCTTGTTTGATTTTTCTTTAAGTATTTAAAAGTTTTGAAAGTTTATGGTGTTTAAAAACTGTGGACTAGTCCTTTACGGAAGCTTCAAATCGAAAGCTGACTTCACCCTCGTCCGCTGCAACGGTTGAAGCTAGTTAAGTCATGTAAACAGCTTCCTACAACGGAATAACATCACTTTTATTTATTTTACTACATCACACTCTTGTTTAAATGTGTCACGAGAAAGATTAACTGAGATTTCGACATATTTTAGATTAAAAACTAAAGTAACGGGGATGTTGGGAAGCTAACGAACTTAGCATCAGTGTTTCCATCAGCTGTTGATGGAAAAGATTTAATAGGCCTGTTCTTACTTTTATCTGACATTTATTTCACAATAGAGTATTTTTTATGGTTCTTGTGTGTCTGAGCAGTCGGAACTGTCCAGAGACTAATCATGCTGTTGAGTAATAAGTGCAGAAGACTGTGAGTCACATCAGAACTGGACCTGAATCACTGGGAACCGGTTTGGTTCGTGCTCTGTTGATCCGATGAAGGACTTTATGATGCATTCACGGTCAGAAGAGTTTCAAAGTTACAGACACTTTCTGGGATTAACTGACAGTTCACAGTGTCTAGATTAAAATAGGAAAGAAGTGCCGATCCACTGTTTCGAAGGTGAAGCCAGCAGTTCTGATTCTTCTGTTCCTCTTTTTTGAACAATGTTTTGCATTTAAACATGTTGTGTTTAGAAACCCATAAACTCTGGAGGGAAATCAGGCTCAGCAGGAATAATTGTCTGCTCTTTACATTGTTCACATCTTTTGTTTCTGAAGTTCAAACAGGTTGAACTGCATCATCTTTAATCTGCCCTGAAGCTGATTGATGTTCTGGTGTCAGATGGATTCTGAGCTCCTACTTCTGCTTTGACTGACAGGAAATACGTTCCTGGTGAAACCACTGTTGGCTCAACGAAATGTTAGGGACACATGAAAACGTGCTCCTAACCTTCAATACACTCCCTGTCCGATGCATGTATGAGGAAAAGAGAAAAACAAAACGTATATATTTCTGCTTTATTTTTAATTATGTCAGTTTTGATCCTGGAAATGTGACAAAACCTGGAAATTTGAAAGTCGCTGTGCTTCTTTCAAGTTCTTGACTTTATAGTTTTCAGACAAACATAAAAAATAATGAACTAAAATTTTTCCTTAACAATGTAATATCTTCATGCAGCGTGTGGCATTCATGGTATCTTCGATCATTCATCATGATAAATTAACATGATAAAAATTTTAATTTTTATTATAAAATTCAGTTAAATATGTTAATTTTACTACACAGTTGTCTTATTGAGAGTATCAATACATTTGAAATTATGATTAATTGTGATTAATGTGATCAATTTAGTGACACAAATAAAACTTATTTATGTAACTAGGGTCCAAAGGAAGCATATTACAATATTTGTGTTTTTGGAGCTATGATTGCTCCATAAGCCACCTACAGTTACCTAAAAAAGTAACAATAAATAAAGTTCTTATTGTTGCTTTTATCATTACCACAATAGAATATAAAAAGATGATAAACATTAAATTCATAATATTGTTTATGTTCATAAAAATCCCCAAATATCACTGCAACTCATGTGATATGGGTCACTGAGTTTTATATTACAATGTTGGCAAAAGAAATTAAAATAAAATTATTTTCCCCCCTCAACAAACTGGCGCCCTGCTGATGTAATCCCGTTCTACCCGGTGGCCCAACTGGACCACACGGGTCATGTTTCACATGTTTCAGAAAATATGTGAAACATGCAAAGCGTTGAGCCTGAGGACCTGATGAGGAAACTCTGCTCCAACATGATCTGTGTTTCTCACGTTGCTTTGAAACCAGGTGGCCATTTCTGAAATAGTAAATTAAACAAAAAATAGTAAATGAAATCAATAACATTAAAAAAGAAGTGAAGTTTTTACAGTAAAAAAAAAATTACAGAAATATAATAAAAAGAGTGAATTTGTTACAAATGTAAAAACAAAAACAAAAAAACATATAAAGAAATGAAAGAAGAAGTGTAGTTGTGAAAGTGAGTCCGTTAGGCCCAGTTCTGAAGTCACCACTAGTTCCTGAGAAAGGAAGTTGGGGCCTGGTGGCTCGGTGTGAAACTTCTTCCCAGCAGATGGTTTTAGCTTCACGTTGGAGTTTTTCTGTTTGTTTTTTACGCCAGGTGAATCTCACCTGGAGTCGGGTTTCTTTATGCTGCGATGCTGGTGATTGATGTGAGAACAAAAGAGTTCAGGAAGAGAAAGTTTGTGTTTATCTGAATTTACCTGGTTGTCTCTAAACTGACTGGACCTCAAGCTGTGTTACTTACTGGTTTCCAGCAGGGTTAAACTGGGATGTCTGTTCTGGGAACATTTTCCCAGCAGGTTTCTGTGGTGTTGAATCGTCATCCAACCCCAAACTGCGGCTCCAGGTTTTCCCATGACACTCCCAGGCGTTGTGAAATCGGGTCTTTGTGTGTAAAACGGGCGTCCATGTCAGAACCTGCCTGAGGAACCGCCTGGAAATGTTCCATCACGGCGCTCCGGATGGGATTATGTCAGACACTCTTCCTGCTGCTGGTGTTTTTCCACTATGTTTATCTCCAACATTTCACCTTATAAACCTGACATGGTCTATACAAATACCTTTCACCTGCACGGTTACCTTCAGTCATCTTACAAACCGCATCTCCATGTATCTGGGTTAACAAGCCCTGAGTAGAAGGCAGATACTCTGAATAAACCTACCCAGCTCTGTTACTCACGGTTTTTGGTTTCAACTGGGTAACTCAATTCAAGCTAGCTCTGAGTTGAGCGTGAGCGAGAGTATAGAAAAAGACGTCATCAATCGAAGGCAGATCTGCCATGGCAACGGGAGAAAGAAAAGCTTGAAACTGCATATTTATCCTCATCCTGTCTCAGTCAAGGTTGGTGTGGAATCAACCAACTCACTCGCTCTTTGGTTGCCTAGCAACAACCCGATGAGTAACTCGCGCAGCAGCAGTTTCATGTTTTGCCACTGTGCCTTATAACTGCTTAAAAATAAACAACTGCATGTTGTGAAAACTGTGGATGAAACCGGAAAGCTCAAACCACCAGTTTGGCAGATATTTGAAACCAATAAGCCAATCAATAATTATAAATCGACTGATATAAAATGCTTCTATTGTGATATGTTTTTCAGCCATACTGTCGAATGGACTTAGACATTTTAATTACGCCATAAGGAGAATATCAAAACATATTTAACAAGGAAAGCCGTTTTGCTTAGCATAGCAGAGACCAAGTAAAGGGGTGAGTTTGATTAGCAGACATTTAATTATATTCTCGATGCTATGCTTCTTAACGTCTAAAAAAAGCTCCTATCAACTGTGATTGATGGGAGCAGAACGGTGGAGCTGCGTGTGCATTTATTGTGCATCGTGATGCATTTGTTGGTCTAATGCAGGAGTGTCCAAAGTGCGGCCCGGGGCCTATTTATGGTCAGGGAGTGATTTTGTGTGGCCTGTCCATCACAGATGCAGATGCAAACTTTTTAATTTTTACTAAGGGTAAAATTGTTACCAACATAATTTTTACAATTGAAAATGTTAAGTGCAGAGTTTTTCTTCTTGTTATAACCAACCTTTTATAATAATCATAACTACGTTTATGTCGACTGAACAGACTTTGCTGCCTAAATCAGCTTTCATTTAGTTTGTTGAACTTGGTTAATTGTAATGAGTGTTTTGAAAGAAAAACCAAATGTTTTTGTTCAATCAAGTCCAAAATAATTTTAAAACTAAATGAAACTTCTTCTAATCCAGAAAACATGATAAATCATTTTAAAGTTTAGAATCTACAATGAATAACATACATTTTCTACAATAAATAACTAAGTCAGACAACTTTGTTTTAATCTTTCCATTATCATTATGAATTTTAGTTTTTTACACAACTTAATTGTGTGTTTCTTGGTTTTCTCTATGTATATATTGTAAGACCATTAAATGCGCCACAGAAGCCCAACTCACCATCAGGTCCGATCTGGACAGAATTCTAGGAAAAAAACTCTGTCTTCTAACTAGGATGCTCCAATCAGAATTTTTGCTGCCGATTCCAATCCCAAACATGGTTTTAAATACTCTGCTATAAGAGCAGAACAATCCAGTCCAGGTTTGAAGAGTCTAGGTGTTTTAGTTTTTAAACTAGAGACGATTAAAGATGCAGAAGGTAGTGAAAAATAAGGTGGACCCGCCCTTTAGCCATTTCCCAAATCGGAAGCTGGAAACCAACTTCAGCTTCGTCACTTGCGCAGTGTGAAGGAAAGAGGAGATCAGCTGCACCTGCAAGCTGCAAAGTGAGATAAATGTGATCAGCAACAAGAGGCTGCGATTGGCGATCACTAATCATACACTTTTTCACAGAAATCAGCTGATTATGATCGGTGGCCGATCAATCAGCACACCTCTGCTTTTAACGTGTAATTTGCCTAAATCTTTATTTCTCCATTTACGCTTTAAACAGAAGAGCTGTCCTAAAAAAATAAATTTGTTTTCAAAAGCTATTGTGTGAAATAAAAGTGCCAACTTGTTGAGGTGGTATCGGTATCAGCGAGTACCTGAACAACATGAACAACAAGGAACAACATGGCTGAACTGCTGACCTGTCAGTCAGAAAGTACAACGTTATTCTGTGATCAAATTTAATTATGATTTTAAGTCACACAGAAGGCTTTTACCCAGAGGGAAGTTTCTGTTGGAAATTTTATATTTCTGTTATTGGTATCGGCCTGATGTCAGCGTCACTTACTGGTACTCATGAAAGCAAACTGATCTTCATGTTCTGCTGGATTTGCATCATCTGCTCCGTCTCCAGCTGTTGTAGTTTTCTTTCTCTTTGCTCCGAGTCAAATCAGCCAAACCCTTTGGGCAACCTGTTCCCCTCCTCGCCTGTGGGGGCGCTGCATCCAATGGAGGGGCCTCAGATTTTAGTGTTTGGAAGATTTTTTATTTATTTTTTTTTTACCACAACTCATTTCTCCTACTAGCACTGGGCTCGCACATTTGTCTTTGTTGTCTTCTTACCCAGAATGCCTTGCGCTGTAGTCCACTTCCTGCTTTTGGAGTGGTCTCTGGTCCACTTGGTTCTCACATATGCATTCAAATCAAATCAAAGTTCACTTCAACCAAACCCAGAGCTTGAATTTGTTCAGAGGCGTCAGTCAAAAGTTAGAGTTCCGGACCTATGACCTTTGCCCCCTGACCTTTGTCCCTCTCCAAACCCGCTTTCCTGTCTGACAACTGTCATATAAAGGCCGCTAGAGCCAACATACCTAAATCAGCTCAACATCCAGAAACAGGACCCAACCAGAACCAGATCAGGCCGGTCTTCTTTTTGCTCCAGGGAGGCTGAAAGATCCTCTGTAGTAAAATAAATCAGGTTCATTGGGTTTAGAAGAACTTATGTTTGAATCCTAACTGGATTTCTCTCTGTTCCTGCAGCACTGCAGAGTTTTACGTCTCCTCAAGTATCCAGCAGAAGACTCTGAGAACCCTCCTCAGGTAAAGTTGCTGTTTGTTCTTCTGATCAGAACCAGAACCACTTTGTTCTGGGAGGTTCTGATTTGTTCATGTTCCAAAATGCTAGATCTGTCTCTGAACACACTTCTCTGGTTTCACGTCAGAATCAACTAAATGTTTCTGTTTGCTAAAAGCCTAAATTATAAGAGAAAATGTCAGGGATTATTTTATTCTGAAATTCACATACAGAATGATTACTGTTTCTTTAACTAATGAGGGAAAGCCCAGATGATGATGTCATGGCTTTGGAAGCTTCTGATTGGTTAACTCAGACATGTAAGTTATTGGAGACTCACCTCCAGTTTCTAGATGCTTGAAAGAGCCTCATTCATCTGTTCAAAGTATTATAGCAAAGAAAGACATGTTGTGAATGTTCAATCATCATACGGGTCAGGAAGAGACGGGTCTGGTCCACAATGGGCCACTCAGTGAGTAACAAGCCATTACTCCAAAGGAAACAAAAAATGACCTCCATTCATGCAAAATTGACACTTTTAATTGTCATTATTTACCAAAAAGCATTTCTTGAGTAAATTAGTAGACATTCATAGAGAGTCCTTCATGTTAATGATATAAGATCTTTTATTTGTCATTATGTTTCAAGAACTTCATGAAACTGGAGATGACTTGACTTGTTACGTCACTCTTCTGCACATCCCTTCAAATAAAGTGACACAGAAATTTTTTATGATAAAAAATAAGCGATATGATGAATGCCCATCCCTGGCTCTCTGGGTCTGACTTTGTTCTGACACGCAGAACCAGAACATTCAGTTGAAATGGAAATAGTTTTCAGTTCCAGTTTCTCTGCTGCAGTTCAGCATTTCTCCTTTATTTGCATGAAGCCCAGCGCTGATTTTACTTTCATCAGACCTCATTTCCCTTCATTATCCTTCTCACGCTCTGGAGCTCCGTTTACCTGGGCGGGTGAGGTCAGAGGGGGACGGGTGGCTCCGCCCCCTGGTGGACGGTTTGATGCCAGCACTGACAACAGAATGTTGTGTTGCAGACAGCGGAGCAGGCCTTCAGGCAGATCCAGAACATCGTGGACTTCACCTCCAATGTCATGAGCTGCCTGCTGGGGGAAAAGTTTGTCCACAGTGGGGTAATATCTACAATTTTTACCAACCATTAATCACATAAAAACCCTCTAGTTTCACAGTGAAAACTGACTGAACTGTCATTATTTTGGAAGAGTCTGACCCAAAAGTTTTCTGTTTAGAGAGACGGAGCAGATCATCCAGCTGGTTATGGTTCAGATCTGTGGGTGTGTTCAAGGTGGGGCACAGGGGCCATTTGTGGTCCGTGGGTTATTTTCTGCAGCCCCTTGTAAGCAGTTAAAGAATGCACATTTGATTCTCCTGAGTCAGGAAGGTCAAAAATGCATCATCTACTGTTTAATCTAGTAATATTACGACCTTATTCTCCTAATATTACTTTTTCTTCTCTTAAAATTACTATTCATAAGTCATAAATCTATTCTCTTAGATTTATGACTTTATTCTCCTAAAATTATGATTTTATTCTTAAAGTTACAACTTTATTCTGGCAATATTATGATTTTACTCTGCTAATTTAAAGATATCTCCTAGTCTTGCCCTCATACTCTGTTGCATTTTTGACTGTTGAGGACTTTCAGCCTGTGTAATTTTGGCTCATATGGTAAAAAGTTTCTACACCCTGATCAGAGACAACAAGCTGCTCAGTGATGCTGCAAATCAGATTTATGTGGAAGTTCAGTTTGATGTTGAGCTTTTATTTGGTCTGCAGGAAGTGGTCAGACTGCCGCTGGAGTTCGTTCGACAGTTATCCATCAAGATTCAGCATCAGAGACCAGGTGAGACCTCAGAACCAGACGGGGCCCGTTTGGACCCTGATCAGGACCTGAACCCTCACGCTGTGTTTCTGTTTCAGCCTGGCGCTGTGATAAAGTCATGGACATCTACAGCGGCTGCGCTCTGTGTCTTCCCAACCTGACGTCTCCGACCCTTCACCAGCCCACGCCGACCCCGCCCCTTTGCATCGAGATCAAGGTACGACTCGCCGCCATGGTGAGTGACGCTCCGAGTGGGTCGGAGCATCACTCTGAGGGACGATCCAGAGTCAATTAAAGTTATTAGAGCTGGACCCAGCAATCAGGCTGACCTCTGACCTGAACCTTCAGAGCCACATAAAGATGCTTCCAAAGGCAGCCTTCTTTCACCCGACGAACATTTCCAGGATCTGAGGATAAATGTCTCAGCATTAGAGAAACTCATCCAGGCATTTATCTTTACTCTTTAGTTTGATGACTGCAGCAGCGTCTTCACAGGTCTGACTAAGATGTCAGTCGTTCAGCTGCAGCTGATCCAGAACGCTGCTGCTGGCGTTCTGACTAAAACCATAGAGCATATCACCCAGTTCAAAATTCCTTCTACTGACAGACTTTAAAATACTGCTAGTAGTTTATAAACTACTGAATACTTTAATGCTGCTGTTGGATCAACTTTCCAGACCTCTTAGGTCTTCTAGTTCTGCTTCTGGTTCTGCTCTGTTTGATATGTACTGCTGACACTTGACTAAATTTAATGCTTCATTTGTTGTTTTTATGACTTTGTATTTTTGTGTCTTTGTGATGTAAAGCACTTTGAACTGCCTTGATGATAAAATGGGCTCTACAAATAAATTTGATTGATTCTGTTTTCAGCCTAAATGTGGCTTCCTGCCGTCCCCCAAACACGTCAGCAAGGACATCAAGACCAGAGTGTGTCGTTACTGCATGCACCAGCACTACAAGGTAGAGCCTGCAGGACACACACACACACACACACACACACACACACACACACACACACACACACACACACACTCTGGTGTTTGATCCGCCTCGGCCTGTGGTGAATCAACACCTCTGTTCTGAGACATGCAGAATGCAGAGCTGTTTCACTCTGATCAATGAACAAAAGCTGCTCTGTTTGTTTCTGAGCTGGTTCTTCTGCAGAAGAACGTAAACAAGAATGTAAATAACAACCAGCTGAGCATCAGAACATATTAATCTGATGTTGAAGATAGAATGACTGAGTTTAGTTTAAAAGGTTTATTAGAGTTAAAAACAAAAGAAGAAGCAATTATCCACTGATCAGAGTTTTGAAAAAATGAAAAACTAAATAATGTCCAGGAACCCAAGAGAGATGTTTCAGCTAAAGAGCTGAGCAGAACCAGGTCACTGGACCAGTTGAATCAGTTAGAGTTCTGTTCTGGTTCTGGTTTCTCACCAGCAGCTCTGCTGTTTTGGTCTCACCTGTTCAGGTTGCCAACGGGAAGTGGAAGAGACGCAGCCTTTACTGTCCATTGGACCTGTTCTCAGGGTGAGTTCACTGACGATGCATTCGCTGTCCTGTGGGTTTTCAGGGAACCGTCTGGTCTTTTTGTTCTGCATTCTGTCGCAGTCTGATTTCTTCTTCTTCTTCTGTGCAGAAATAAACAGAGAATGCACTTTGCCATCAGACACCTGATAGAAGAACCTCAGAATAACCTCAAAGTGTTTAAGGTATGAAACTGAACTTTGGTTACCTGATGCTCCTGGTCCTTCCTGTTTTAATAAATCATGTTTTTAAGATGTTTTCTTCTCTTGTTTCCAGCTAACTTTGCTGATTTTGTTTCGTTTTATTCCAACCGGACTAACGGCTGGTTCTGGGTTTCAGGGTGGTCAGTGTATCTACAGCAGTAAGGAGGGTAGTGACGAGTCGCCCGACACAAACTCTCTGCTGCATCACCTCAGACCTTACTTCCTGCGTGCATACAACCGCGTCAACGGTCACCTGACCACCAAAGCTGTCCTGAACGATTTCATACAGGTGAAGCAGCGGCCCAGTATGACTCTGCCTGGAGCTGCTGGTGTCGGTCGGCGCTAAAGGCTGGTTTTGTGTCTGAAGGTCCTGGGGAACGCCCTGCTGAGCGCCGCAGGGGGAGACGGAGGTCAGGTGACCGACAGGACCGGAGAGGGGCGGAGCTTCTGCGAGGCCAGTCTGTTTAACAGGGAGAGGACTCGCCACGGTCAGTTTGTTCTCTAACATCATCACAACTTGTTCCTTTAAAGCTGCAGAGTGAAACATTTATGATTTGTTTTTTTATACATTTGTTAAATTTATCTCCTCCACTTCCCTACTTACCACCTGAACAAATGCACCAAAAACAACCAATCAGAGCCCAGAGGCGGGACTTAGCGTTGTCAATCACCTCAAGAAACAATTTACTGCTACAGGAAAATTGTTTATCCATCGTCATCGATGGCTATGCTAACTAGTCCTTAGCATTCACAAGGGGCCATGTTGGCTGCACAGAATGAGCAGCGCTACACAAGATTGTGATTGACAGCCTTAGACTGTTAATCAGATTATTTAGGCCCTGATTGGTTGTTTCTAGTTAGTTCTGGGACAGGAGCCTGATTTTATCACATATTATCTGTTTCATACCAAAATGTCACAATAAATTAGTAAAACTATTTTTTTATAAAAATCACAGATTGCAGTTTTAAGCAGATTATTTTTATTGTTTTGGTTTTTCTGAACTTCAAACTTTGAACAGAATCAATATGATCACAAGGTAAACTCCGCATTGAGCAAGCCAACAGTTATTGGAAATAATGTGTGATTTGTAAAGAGTTGATGCATACATTTCAAACCTCAGTGTTAACCCAAACTACATGCATATCAAAACATGCAGCTCAGACTCATGTTTACTTCTACTGACATTTTGAGTTACCATGGTGACATAAACAGCCAATAATGCTCCAAAAATGTCTCACAGGAACGAATTCAGTCTGTAACGAGGCGATCATCTTGCTTTCACCTAGAAACAAAGTTTCACTTTTTATTTGTAGAGAAATCTGTGTTCTGTTCAAAGGTGAAGGTAAATTTTCTGTAGATTTTCCAAATTTATCATTAAAGCAACACAAAATTCCCTGTTAGATTTGAAACAACAGAGTGGAAGAAGAGTTTTTTAACACGCAGTTAGTAATAGTTATGTTCAGTAATTTATTATGAATGAAATAATTTATGAAGTTAGCTTCTTTAGTTAATTGGGGCACCATCAGACTCCCTGGAATCATTAGGTAAACATACGAGCCTCTCATGAAGGAATAAATGTAATTTTTGCTAGACAGCAGAACCTCCTCACACAGAAACCACAATAAACACAAACCATTCTCTGACAGTTTATTAGCAAAATAACTCAACTTTACACCAATAATGCAATTTAACGACTAAGAAAGAAAAGTATTGAATAGTGAAGTATCAAAAAAAAAATGATGAACAACATATGAGGAAACAAAATGGAATTCTGGACAACAGCTTCAAGACTGAGAAAACAAAAACGCAGAAAATCAGGACTTTTGAAAGTCATGATGAGTATGGTCCATAAGTCCATAATAAAAACTGAAAATACAGACTGAAACATTCATATGCAGGTGACCTTTGACCCACACTAGAAGGATTTTATTAAAAGGCTGCATGAAACAAGAAAAATTCTTTGGTTGTTTTTATGGAACAGAAACACATAAACTAAGTGTTACTGGAAGCTGTTAAGTAATTTGAAGTTAAAACCTGATGCACTTTGGGACAAGCTCAACCACAGAACCTCCGGTTCTGGTCTGAGGCGTTTGAAACAGATTTTAGTTTGGTTCCTCCAAAGGTTTTGGTTCTGCAGCATCTTTCAGGTCCTGATGTTACAGATAACAGAGGAGCAGACTTCCTGATGAAATTCTCTGGAACCGGACCTGAAACCAGAACCATTTCCAGGTTGATTTAATGAACTCGTCCCTCTGTGATGCAGGATCTCAAGGTTTACCCACCAACAGCATTTTGTCCAGAATCCTTCAGACTCAGATGTTGGACTCGTTGGACATCGAAGGGCTTTATCCTCTGTACTGCCGAGTGGAGCAACACCTGCAGGACTTCCCCAAGGACAGGTAGAACCCGGCCAACCGGAACCAGAAGGAAAACCTGTCCCTATAGGTAGACCTGGACTCTGACGTCTCTGTCTGTCTGCGCCAGGACTGGCCTCCAGATAGACGGACCGTACGACCAGAACTTCTTGGAGAAAGTGCAGAAATGTTCGATGGAGGACGACGGCTCTGTGGAGTACGCTGCTGCCAAGGTCAGATGGTTACCAGTTCTCCTAGTAACACAGACACTCTGGAACAGTTTACTCTTTATTTTCATACTTGAAGCCAATTTACAGTTTTGCTCTTTAAACAAAGATGAACAACAATGTCATTTAACAGAAACTAAACCCAGAATGTTTCCATGAAGATGAGCAGCAGAGATGAAGTCAGACAGAAACGCTTGGTTGATGCTGGACAGATTTTAAGTGTCAAACACTAACAGTTTTATCCTCCAGGTCAATGTTCTAGGTTTTTCTATAAACTTTCTCCAAACCACAGGAGAAACTAAATGGTTCCATTAAACTAAAGATCTGCTGAGATGATAGAATGAAATCCTGACTTTTCTTCTGCGGTCAGATCAATAAAGTTTTATTAAGCTCAGCGCGATGAAGGAATGTTGCCAGGTGGTGCTCAATGGCGCCACCTGGCAACATTCAAGCACTCTGCACATTGACCTTACTTTATTGCAGAGGCATGAATATCACAACACTTCTACGATTTCCCAAGACGTACAGAGTTTCTGGCAGCCATTTTTGCACCCAACAGAGAGAAAATACTGACAATTATCCTTTTTCACCCTGTTTATGATCTAAGATTGAAACTGTACTCAATGATTGTCAATAAGCACATAATTGGCGAGTTGGAAGTACTCGCCAATCCTTCGACCTTCAACACCCGACCTGTCTTGAAACCAAACTTTTAAGGCATGCTGCTGGACTCACATTGAGTCTATTTGGAAGATTTGTCAAATGCGCCCCCTAGTGGATGGGAGCGGGAGAGCGTTTATGATAGGTGGTGGCTGCCGTGAGGCCGGAGTGGCGCAGAGCTGCAAGGGCCGTATGAGGCTGCTTGCAGCTTTAATTTGAACTTACGTTCTTCATACTGACAACATCAAAGCTGCTGTTTCATCACTGAGATATTCATTGTCAGGATTTTTACTATATTATCAGTGGCGATGAATGGAAACATGTTTTCAGTGAAGGTGTGTGTGAAGGTGTGTATAAGTGTGTTAGTGTCCAGATCAGAGAACGACATAGTTCCTTCCCTCCGTCCCAGTCCAGATTCACTCTGATTCTCTGGAGTCTTTTCTGGACAGAAAGGAAAATGAGAGGAGCTGGTGGAGAACAAGCTGAGTATTTACTTTCATATAAGCCGATACCAACCAGCCAGATGCTCTGTCTCCCTTCCTCTGGACAGACTCTGCTGACACACCAAGTTCCCAGTATTCACTGTCTCCAACCTCAAAATCCCAGCTGTGGTTCCCTGAGTTAAAACCCTCAGAGCTCAGAACAGACCGCCACAAGTCATAAAACCTCTCTGGATTATAAGGAAGCTGCTGTTCCTCCCATATGTCAAAGTGGTCAGATCTTCAGACAGCAGGAGTTCTGGATTCGCCGTGTTTGGGTCCAGAACCAGAGGAGTATAGGTCACCATGTCCTTCATGTTGCTCCAGATGTTGAAGGCCAGGTTGCCCAGATGTTTGGCCTGGTCTATCAGAGCTCCTGAGGGCAGCTGTGGATCCTCCAGCAGGGGGCAGCGCTGGACTCTTTCCACTGCAGCCTTGTAGTTGTGCAGGAATGAGACGTCTTCAGCTCTCAGCTCCTCCTCTGTGGCTCTGACTGTGTCTGAAAGAGCTGCTATCTCTCTGCTCAGAGCCTCCATCTTCTCCTCCATCATCCCTCTCTTCTGCTCCTCTTCCTCCCTCAGTGCAGCCAGCCTGGCCTCCTCTTCCTCTGCTAGAAACTGATGAAGCTTCTTAAACTGCTCAACAATCTGCCTCTCTGTGTGTCGGGCCTGGACCATCATGTGTTCTGCTGTCTGATCAAACTCCTCTTTAACTTCCTTCTTCTGCTCCAGTTTCTTCTTTAAAGGCTCCAGAGATGTTTTCAGATTCTCTCTGTGATCCTGAGCAGCTTCATCGATGGCTCTGAATCTGTGCTTGATGTGTTTTTCTGAATCTCTGCAGACGAGACAAACTGGCTGCTGATGGTCCAGACAGAAGAGTTTGAGTTTCTCAGAGTGCAGACTGCAGAGACTCTCTGAAGCTTTTTGCTCTCTCTGCTCTAAGAATGATTCACAGAGTCTCTTCAGAGCCGGATTTAAAGTCGGTTCCTCTCTTGAAGATTTCCTCTTGCAAACTGGACACTCTCCTGCTGGTTTCTGTCTCCACCAGTTCTTCAGACACTCCTTACAGAAGCTGTGGCTGCATGACAGAACAACCGGATCCTTAAAGCCGTCCTGACAGACCGGACAGCAGAGGTCCTTCTCTGGTCTGGAAGCCATTTTGTCTCTGAGTGAAGCTGAAAACACAGAAGGTCCAGTCAGTCACTGAACTCTGAGTGTTTTTGGTCCAACTCGCCTTCAGTGTGAGCAGCTGGAAGCAGCAGTGTCTCTGCAGGAACCAAAAGTCAAACTGCTTCCTGCTTTGGTTCGGGTGTGTCGAGTGGTGGAGCTTAAACCTGATGAGCTTGCTGTTCCTTGTATTTGAGGCGTGCTTCACTGCAGAGTCCAGCATTCAACCTTTGATCAGAACAGACTTGTAATAAAGACAGTAGAATAAACTCATTTAACTTTATCATCTTGATTCTCATTTAGGAATAATCAGCTGACCTCAGCAAAGTTCACATCTACAGTAACTTTGTTTTTTCTGCTTAAGGTTCTGTTTAGCTGGTTTTAGTTTCTGACAAATAACTGATGACATCATCAACCTGCTGTTCAGTCTTGTAATAATTAGTATGAATCAATTGGTTTTATCACCGAGTTAATAAAGTAGCTTGAGTATATCAGTTCCACTCTGTCTGATCCTGAAGTAAAACTCAGACACTCAGGATACAGTTCGCTTTTCTCAGGTTTTCTGTTGCTTTTCAGGCAGTTTTAATCCAGTTCTGTTATTTTCTCTGCAGGTCCATCAATACCGGATTGCCATGACAGCCAAGGACTGCTCCATTATGGTTACGCTGGTTCCCAGTAGTGAAGAAGAGGACAATGATGAAGAGTAAGACTTTCGTGTGTCTGTTAAATCAGAGCTGAGGCCTTCAGTCTGCAGCTGGATGTTCACTGATTCATTCATTCATGATGAAGATGCATCTGAGTGATGATGACCACCGCAGCTGGTCTGCAGACAGTTGATCAGGATTGCAACACCACACACAGTTTACGGTTCAGTTCAGCGCTTTGCATTCAATATTATTTTGATACATATAAAACTGATAAAGTCTGTAATTCTACTTTTGTCCTGCACAGGTAGAAACTGCGGTCTCAGTAAAATATGTCGGTGAATAAACTGCAGAACTCGCAGCAGGTTCTGCATCAACAGGACGGGTTGCGATGACCCGGTCCATGTTTCCTACCGATGGAGTTCAGCTTTTTATCACCACTTGGCATGAAGGCTAAAGTTATTCCAAAGTCAGATGTGAATGATGATGGTGGAGGAGCTTCAGTAGCCACGTAGCAGCCAGCTAGCCTCTCTCGCTAGCTTCTCTCGCTAGCTTCTCTCGCTAGCCTCTCTCGCTAGCCTCTCTCGCTAGCTTCTCTCGCTAGCTTCTCTCTCGCTAGCCTCTCTCGCTACTTCTCTCGCTAGCCTCTCTCGCTAGCCTCTCTCGCTAGCTTCTCTCGCTAGCTTCTCTCTCGCTAGCCTCTCTCGCTAGCTTCTCTCGCTAGCCTCTCTCGCTAGCTTCTCTCTCGCTAGCCTCTCTCGCTAACTTCTCTCGCTAGCCTCTCTCGGTAGCTTCTCTCTCGCTAGCCTCTCTCGCTAGCTTCTCTCGCTAGCTTCTCTCGCTAGCCTCTCTCGCTAGCTTCTCTCGCTAGCCTCTCTCGCTAGCTTCTCTCGCTAGCCTCTCTCGCTAGCTTCTCTCTCGCTAGCCTCTCTCGCTAACTTCTCTCGCTAGCCTCTCTCGCTAGCCTGGATGCTCAGTGGCTCTGCGCTCGATAATGCGGCCTTGGTGGCGCAGTCGAACCCAGAGCCATCGATCATCTCAGCGCTTATCGAACCCAGAGTATTGTACTGAACGGTTCATAACAAATAGAGCTATTGTTGCACCCCAAGTAAAACTCATCTATATATTTTCACATAAAGCCTTTGCAGAACCGGGTCTATATAATAGCAAGCTTGACTCTGACACCTTAACATGAGAAGTTCTGCGTGTTTCAGTTGAGTTAAACGAAACCCCACAGTCAGAGCGATCACCAGGAGAGCAGGTGTTTAAATGATCAACCACCGCTGTGATAGTTTCTATTGCTGCAGCATATTGGCCACCACAGCAATCTCCTATTAATAATCACAAAACAAACAGCAACCCTGGAAACATAAAACTGCAATGTGTGTTTTTGTACCATAGCCGACTCAGACAGCGAAAAAAAAAGAAAAATGCAAATAGTTTTGAGTTCTTCAGTGTTTTTCTGCCTTACTTTTTTCCCTTGCTGTAATTAAATGAAATTATAGTGAACGGTTCTTCCGCGTTGGTAAGTTGAAGCATCGTCATTAACCCTCCTCTCCTCCACAGACTCTCCTCCCAGAAGCGTCTCAGGGACTTCAGACCTCAGGCCTTCTCCTCCTCCGTCTCCGTCCTGGATCTGGACCCCAAGCCGCTGGACAGCGTCCCCCGCCAGCTGCGTCTGGACCAGAAGATCGTCTCGTGTTACCTGAGGACGGGCGGTGCCTTGCCCAACGGCTCCCTGCCGCCGCTGCCCAGCATCCTGGCGGCGGAGAGGGAGGAGCGAGCGTTGCTTTCCAGGCTGTGTGAAGGGACCGGCTCCGAGGTCAAGAGGTCACCGCCCAGAGAGCAGTCGGATCAGAACCCGGCGCCAGTTCTGTTTTACTTCACCACAAACTCGCAGCTTCACTCTGACCTCTCCTGAAGCTGTTGTCATAGCAACGGGCTCTGATGCTTTGAGGTCATCATCATCAAACACTGTCAGCAGGCGTCTGCTGAAACGCTTTAAAAGGTCAAATTAAAGGGTCGGTTGAACCCGACCAGAACCTCCTGGGAACCTCTCTGTATGTGGGATCCAACAGAGCTGGGACAGAACCTCTGACGTTTCCACTGATAACAGGAAGTGATTTACTGTCAGTCTTTTCCTGGGTCCAGTTGAGCCAGAACCTCCCAGTGTCTGAGCAGAGCGGGTTTGGTTCTGTTTGTGCCGGACCGGACCAGACCGCTCATTGGGATCAGAGCAGATTTCTGTCTGGATGTTAAACAAACAGCAGCATTCAGAGGTTCTGATCCGGCCCCGGTTCTTTCCTCTGATCCGGTTCCTTCCTCTCTGTTTGGGTGTTCTGGTTCTGCAGTTCTTCCTGCAGGTCTTCCAGACGGTTCTTTTGGACTTTGGCTGATATTCAGTTCTTTTCAGTCCAACAGAGAAATAGAACCTTATGGAGGTTCTGGAGAACCACTGATCCAAACAGAGAAGTAGTGAGGAATTGAGGACCGGTTGGATATCAGGAGGTTCTGGAGTCCGACTTCTGGACTGAAAGCTGCTCCAGAGTCCATCCAGACCCCTTCAGAATCTTTCTAGAACTCAGAGCGTTTCATCGACCTGGACTCTGCGGTGAAGGTCCAATCTGACCTCTGACCTGCTTTTTTTTTTTGTGCCAAACATGGCTGGTGCTGGTTCTGGAAGACGATGATGGTGCGTTTGTTGAGGAAGCGAACTCTGTTACAGGCTGCGTTCCCCTGCAGCCCGGCCCATTCAGCAGGTCAGGACCGATTCTGCTGGACCGGCCAGCAGCGGCTTCAGAGAAACCGCTGACCTTTGCCCTTGGTTCCTGTTGAAGGCGCTCTCCTTTGGCCAATTAGTAACAGTGTGAGCTCACTGAACGGCACCGCAGACTGGAAACGTTCCAGTTCAACTGGGAGGATTTTCAGGTTACGGCTCTTAATCTGTAAAATGTTGATAAAGTCGATTTGATGAGACGCTCCAAAGGTTTACACACTCCTGTGAACGTATCCACTTCCTGTGGGGCAGAAGCCGACTTTATTCACCTGGAACACAAACTATCCTGTTAGTGGGGAAAACAGAACCAGTTAAATCTGTAATGACCCGGCCAAGTTTACGCACAGGTTCTGGTCCAGTTCTAGCATTCTGAGGAACCTGAAGTAAACTTCAGCTGTAATCTTCCTCACATCTGTTCATGTTCCACAGGGTCAGACGGTTTAAAGGTATCAGTCAGGAGAAGGGCACAAAACACTAATCTGCTAGAAAGCTGAAGCATTTTTTTGTCCATCATCTCCGAGAGACCAAACATCCAGTCAGAACATTTAATCAATGATTTCATGGGAGGAAAACTACATAGTTTTAGAACGGCCTAGTTAAAACCCAGATTGAAAACCAATTAGCTGAAGAGGCAAGTGGAGAATAGACTGGAGAACTTTTATAAAGCAGGCAGAATGACTCCCTGACGCAGCTTCTTGTTTTTCCAGGATAAATGTCACATTTAATGCTTCCAGAAGTTTCACCGCCACAGAAAGTGACTTTAGCAGGGTGTGAAAACTTTACAACCTCTGAAAACTAACAAACGATGACAGCAGAGGGGAACATTCAGGTTGTTTAATACTAAAAGAAAAAATAAATGTTCAAAGTAAATGACATATGAACAGTTTTAGTGAGATTTTTATGTTAAGAAATTAAAAAATATTTTAAATGTGCAGAAAAGGGGATAAAAATGTGAAATCAGAGGATATTTAGTTACATTTAACTTCAGTTTGAAATTGTTAAAAATCTGAGCTGGAACCTGATTGGCCGGCTGCCTGAGCGCCTCCATTCACTGAGGGTCATAGGTCATCAGCTCTGTGATTCCTGCAGAGAGGATGTAAAGGCCAAACAGCTGTCTGGTGTTTTCTACTGAAATCATTTTATTTTTGTAGATTTGGACCAACAGGCTCCGCTGGTTCTGCCGTCACAGTCACGCTCTTTGTATCAGAATAAACATTTGTACTGGACCGAACCCTGGTCTGCCTGCTCCCTGTGTTTGTCTGGTTGGTCTTTACTCAACTTCACCAATCTGCAGTCCAGCTGGTTTAACCTTTGCCTTAGCGAGCGTTAATTCTTCTTTTTCTTGTTTAGTTTGTTAAAATCTTTTGTTGTACAAGCATTTTATCCATAAACTTTTCCATGTCCCAAAATGACATTTCTTATCATCCCATGACAACCTGAGTCTTCATGTGTCAAGTGTCTCTAGGTCAGCAGGTCAACTCCTCCGTTTCCACCCCTCTGGTAGGATTCTTCTTTTGTGTATCTGTTGTCCTTCTCTCAGGAGGATTTTCTACCTAAATGCCTCCTGAGTAGTTTAGTCATTATCTGACATGAGCTCCTCTCTCAGTCCTGTGAAACACTTGGATGGTCTTCTTCTTTAAGCTTATTCTTCTTTAGGCATATTCCTCTTTCTACCACCAACCTTTCAGTTAACAGCTGAATGCGCTAACCGATTGCGCCACAGAGACTGAGCTTCTGCAGTGCTGCAGGTGGTTGTGGCATGGATGCATCTAAGGTTGTCAAATCCAATGTGGCAAAAGACAGAGTTCAGTGGTAAGATGATGGGGAATTCCTTCAACCTCAAACACTGTTTGCGCCATCGTGTTTCTTGCCAAACAGACTAGATTTCTATTCTGTCCTTACAACAGTTCAAAGGTCAAAAGATCAAGCAATCCAAAAGTTGCCTTTGGTCAACTTTTGACAAACAACAAAAGGCGTATTCTTCTTTAGGCAAGAAACCCTTTTTTCTTCTGTGGGCCTGGAGCTGCGGGTTACCTGGACAGGTCACCAGCCCACCCAGCAGACTGATTCATTTATGTTTTTAACCTTTGACACATTTGGGTTTCTGACTACAGAACTTGATCATATTTGCTCTCCTCAAACATCCATCATCTCTAGTAGCCGGTGGCTTTAATGTGCTGCATGTCCAAAGTGCAGCCAGAAGTCTTGTGGGTCCCTTGGGAGTATTTCTGATTTGTGACACTGAGTTTGACAGCGCCCCCTGCTGTGCGGGCATACAAGTACCACCCACAACTGAAACTGTGACAAATGGTAGAAAACTGCAGTGCAGTGTGGCTTTTTAAAAAATGTTTTGCCTGGCATCAGCAGCTTCGTATGATTTCATTCATTAACTTGCATCTGTGTTGAGGAAAAACAGTTAAATCTTTTGACCAAAGGGAAAGAAAGCACTGAGACGTGTTGAGGCAAAATAATGCGCATATATATATATATATATATATATATATATATATATATATATATATATATATATATATATATATATATATATATATATATATATATAAGACAGAACCAATTTAAGCAGTTTTCAGCTGATTTGGAGGTTAGTTCTAGTTTAAATAGTTGAAAATAAACTGTTGCTTTTTGAATCTGGTAGAAGAGAAGATACAGAAATTTAAAAACATCACAGAATCTCTTTCGGACTGTTTAAGCTTAATGTCTCAGTTTTGATGCCTGAATTTTCCAGATTTTGTATCATTTCCTGCAGATCTAGAATCTCTCTTATGATCAATTAATTCAGGGAGAAACATTTTAGAGAAGTTGACTCTTCGAGATTCCACACATCTGATGTCAGCAGGTGGAATTAACTTCCCGAGAAAACCTCAGCCCGTGTTTTATCTCACCGGAGTCCTGCCGTGTTTCTGACGGTCCGTGAACGCAGCACTGTGGTTCCGATTGTGTGATGTGGATGAAGGAGGAGAGAAGAGGAGGCTGGAGGAGCGAGGCAGGGGGAGCTGTGCAGGTTCGGTTCTGTTCGGTGATACTCGGTCCGGATTCACGGTTCGCAGGTTTTCCGTTTTTTTCTGGTTTTATGTAACCGACGGTTTTCACAAAAGATCGTAACGAGGCTGGAGTTATTAAAATCAGAGAGAAGTTCCTCATGAGCTGCTGATAATCTGTCCGCTGTAATAATCCAGAATATTCTCCAGTTTCCCTGCAAACCGCCGATCGGAACCCAACCGACCCTGATCAGAACCTGGTTCTGATTGTCGGTCCAGAACCTCCACTGATTCCTGTTGAGTCCATCTTAGGTTCTGCATCATCATTTTTGAACATTGAATTTTCATCCCACCATCCTTTATCCACTTCCATGTTTCAGGGGAGAAATGGTGACCTTAGTGACCCCTACGGTTGGTTAATGTAGGCCAGGAAACTTTTATTCTGATATTCTTTGAGGCTGTTTGGTTCGGCCCATGTTTTTCACTTTAAAGTTCCTCCAGGTCTCTGCGTCTTGTAACAATTTCACCTCTTAATTTCAGAAAGTTGGGTGAGTTTTTCATGTTTTTCTCCACCAGCATTGATTTAATTCAAACAGATTCCAGGTCAGACGTTTACAGCCTCGTGTGCTAAAAGATGAAAACTCTGGAAGCTTCTGGTTGCATTAATTTGGGTTGTTTCTGTCATGATTTAAAGAGAAATACAGTTTGATGATAAATGGCTTCACCTTCACCCAGAATTATAATTATAGTTTTACCATATGCAGAGATTTTTAAAAGGGTTATGCATTAATTCACACCCTGTTGACTGCTTTTAACTTGTATTATGATTGCACTAGTAATAAATTTGATTTAAAGGAGCAAAGTTTCAGTTTGCTTCACAAGATACTTAAAAGTAAAAACCACTGAATATGAAAAACAGTTTAGAAATAGAAATGAGTAAAATAGCACAAAATATATGAATAAAACATGTTCTATTAGATAATAGTTTAAACATTTCTGTCAATAAATCAATTAATCACATCATAATTTAAAACATTTTGTCTTTCTACCAAAAACTGGATGAAAAATGTTCAGTTTGCTGTTTTGGTCTCAAATAGCCATTTTTTTGAAGGACAGTTTTGTTTATTGAGATTTCAGAATTCATTTTTTTGTTGCTTCTGTTGTTTTGTTTATTTATTTTGGATATCTAAAATGTTTTCCAGTTCCGATAATAAATGTTTATTGATCCCTAAACGTGTTCTTCCACCACTATACCATGACAATTATATGGTGTCAAATCAACAACATTATCGTTTCTCGTGATCATTTCTGGGACAGTTTACTGTCCAGCGGCGTTTGTTCCTGTGACGGACTGAATTGCAGCTTAAAGTTCAGTTTGTATTGATAAAGATCCGGGAGGAAAAAACGATCTGATCGGATGTCTGTTTGCTTTTCCAGGCGTCTGCAGCAGCGATGGAGCTAACCTGGGCTAAAGCCTTTTTGCTAACAGGAGGAGTTCTGCTTGTTCCTGTTTTCGCCTTCATCACGTCCGTCGTGTTCTGGCCC